CAAAGCTGATGTTTACAGCTTCGGAATGCTGCTAATGGAAATGTTGGACTTGAAGAGAAATGAAGTTGCAAATGAAGAGAATTCCAGCCAATATTTTCCTTATAATATTTACGATACGTTCAACAAGGGGAAAGAGATTGTGGTGGATGAAGAAGCAAATGATGATGAAAAGAAGATGGCTAGAAAGCTGAGTTTGGTTGCGTTATGGTGCATACAAACAAATCCGATACTACGCCCTTCAATGAGTAAAGTAGTACAAATGCTTGAAGGCGAAGTTGAAGCGCTAGAAGTACCTCCTCAGCCTCTTCAATCTCCACCGATTGTCCATCAGATCATGGAAAGTTCTACGACATTATCGTCTGATTCAATAGCTTTGTTAGATCATTCCGTTGAGGTAGACATTTATGCTGATTGATTATAGTTGATGTAATGTTTATGTGAAATAAACATAGCAAATCCAACACTGTACGAAGTGATATTGAAATACAAAATAAACAAATTAAAATACAAAATTGTCGTCATTTGTGTTCTAAGTAAATAATTGTGATATTTGAAAAATAGAACATTTTTTATTAAGTTGGTGTTATATTCTAGGTGTTTTGATGATCCTCACAAATGAAGGGACATGGTCCCTATCTGAGTTCTCTTGTCCAGATCTATAATGGGGTATAACTATAAAGCTATCGTGTCAGAGGTTGGTGAGGCGTCAGCGTACTATACCAATCAGAATGGACGAGGGTGTTTGTCCAACGGATAATAACTCTTTATGGTTGATATTTCAACATGAAAAACACCATATAAAATTTATTTATTCAAAGAAGGAAGTCAACCAACAAGCCTTTCAAAAATCCATAAAGAAGTTTGCAAGGGACCTGGTCCCTGGAAGATCGTGTATGTGAAATAATGACAAGACAGCTGTCAGAAAAAGTTGTCAGCTCTGATGTGGTAGGTGCACGTCCTTCCAGAGAGATAGGCTCTCAACCAATGGGCGGTTCCAAGGAGTTTGGGTTCATTTTTATATAATCTCTTAACACATAACACAAACGCAAGATTTGACAAACTAAATTTGGATTTTCTCCGAAAATTCATAAGCTTACAGAGAAAGTCATAACCAAGGAAGAACTCTGCTCAACTCAACAAAAGGACACCATAGAGTGAGTTCATTGGCCAATTGAATAATGCTTACTATTTATGGCCATATGAATGAATGATTGTACACTCACATAAGGAGTTATGCAGGTTGTATGTCATCATCAAAAAGGTGAAAATTGATAAGTGTTTATGCTCTTAGATGTTTTGATGATCTCCTCACAAGTTTAGGGACCTGGTTCTCTGCAGAGTATGAAACTCGTCCAGTTGTTAAAGTGTAGTACAAATGTAAAAGTTGTCCGCATCAGAAAGTTGGTGAAGCAACAGAGTACTCCACCAATCAGAAGTGACGAGGTTTTTGTTTGATGGGTAATAACTCTTCATGGTATATATCAAACAAAAACAACAAGATTCATTCATTCATTCAAAGAGAGAAATTTCAAGCTTCAAAGAACAGCAAAGGAACTGATCGAAGTGCATTTAATTCTTTTTGTATTTGTTGTATTTGGTTGCTTGTAATTTTTCTTATATTGTAGGATTCGTTTCAATTGTGAAAGAAACGTTTCAAACTTGGGTGAATCATTGTAAGGGCTAGGTTAAGGGTAACTTAGGTTCTTACTCTAAATCTATATTAATCGGGTAGGATTAGTATAGAGAGTAGTGTTGTATCTACTCAGACTCAGCTAAGTGATAAGGAGTATTACTTAGTGGGGAGATAGATTAGCAGGCTAATCTCTTATTGTAACCGACTTTTACTTTTGCTTGTTGACGATTAGTGAAAGCAGTTTTAAAAGTCCTATTGAGAACAAGTCGTGGTTTTCTTCCCTTGAGCAAAAAGGTTTCCACGTAAAGTTGTTTGTCAATCTTTACGTTTCTGCACTTGTTCTTTACTGTCTGACTTTAGTGCATGAGGAACTGGTCCCATCAATATAAGTGGATGCATACATTCCAACTGTTGGATACCTCTAGCAATCCTCTTAGATTCTGCCATTGGAAAGTGATTTAGAGTTTATCAAACTCAAAACGTGATTTCAATTACACAACAATTTTGAACAAATTAAACAAAAATAAAATCATAAAACAAATATTAAAAAACGGATAAAGACGCATATCTTAATAAAATATATTTTTCAATTACTGGAAAAAAAAAAGAAGGAAGAGAGAGAGGAAAATTTTGAAATGGAGAAGAATTCGAAGATAAAAAAATGAGAGAGAGGAAATGTTTCATTTTTAAAAAACATATGAGAGATATGATTAATTGAAAAACTTGTAATTAAAATGAGATAAAATAGGAAGCAAATTAACATACACAATCTTTTCTAAAATAATGACATTTTGACATTTTTACTAATATTTATAATGTATGAAGGTTTTTACTAATTACGTTAGGTTGTTTGATTAGTTTGCTAATTTTTCCTAAATCATATATTATTATAAGAGGGAACAAAAAAAGTTAAAAGTTGAATTACCATTTTATCCTACACTAAATAAAATTATTATAAAAATATTAATTAAATATTCTATCATTAATGAAGAAAATCATCATATTCAACACTACACCATAATGTACACATACATGGCATATTTAAATTTTAATAAAAATCAATTAAGTATTTGGGTATACAAAGAGGTGAATTAATATGCTTGCAATTGTCATTTATTTCAGCATTTTCAATACTTTAAAATAACTTTTCATCTTACTAAATTAATTCAATGTTTGTAAGGTCTTTTCAACTTCCAACTATAGTTATAGAATTTTATAAATAGTCACTTTAGTTAAGCATGGTAAATTCATTGAGATTTTCTTATGGAGTTTCAATACCACATGTCCTCTTCTTCTCTTTCATTATTTATCTTTAATGTGTCAATTAAAGGGTTCCATACAAGGGCCGATAAATATAGTTAAAAATGTTATTGGCATGAATAAATGAAAAGTGTGCATCTGTTTGTTCAAGATTTAAGCTGATACCTCTTTTTTTCCCTATTGTTTTTATTTAGTTAGTTACGTTTGAGTATTATTCTATTAAGATGTTTGATGTTTCTGATTTGAAGAAGATTTGGAAGTTGTGTTAATTGCAAGAATGTTATGACTTCGCTAATTTCTTTCATTTTATCTAATAATAATATTTCAATACTCGCGTGAAGTAGGAATCAAAATAAATATGTTTATTTCAGTTCATTTGTGAAATTGTTTTTTAAATAACCCTCATGAGTTATAATTATTATATCACTCTCTAATTAGTTCGAGAGAAGAGTATTATGAAGGATCTAATTTCATGTAGCAGTGATAGTTTTATCCCTATTGGATCTTAAAATTGTTGAGTCTAAATATTTATCTTTATCTTGTCTATACCAAAAAAGAACATTATGAAACTTGAATTTTAATTATCAAAAAACAATGATTTTTTAGTAAATACCAATAAATTTAAAATGGAGAAAATATGTCATTTACAAAACAAAATTTATATAAAATATAAACGTGCAACGCACGTTTCTGAAACTAGTAAATATATAAAGTCACAACCGTTCAACACAAATACACTGTTTGAGTAAATGTTGTGTTTGGCATATCCATCTCCCTCACTAATAAATTGGTAAACGTCAAAGTCTTCCTCTTGATGGCCCTTGCAACTTCCCAATCAATGACCAAACACCACAAGTCTTCCATTGGCTTGGGACCCAATGGAGTAATGAAAAGTCTACAAAGCTTCAATAATTGCATTTTTACTCATATATATTATAATAACAATTATTGCAAAGTCTCAGTTGAACCTGAGTAACACACAAATGTCTAAAGGAAACTCTCAGCTTAGATATTTCACATTAATCCTTCAAATCATATTTCTGCAAACATCCAATGCTTGGAAGATCAACTGTCCTGATTCTGCCTGTGGCGATATCCGTAGCATAAAATACCCTTTTCATTTAAACACTGATCCAAAACATTGTCGTGTTTTTTCAGGATTTGAATTAGCTTGTGAAGGTAACCAAACCGTTATATGGTTATCCTCCAAGAAGTTGCATGTTCAAGGCATCGACTATGCTAATAACACAATTCATTTGGTAGATCCGACTTTACAAACACATGATCTATGCTCTCTCCTACCTTCTAAGCTTAACTTTCAACAATACGGTAATTTCTTCTGTCGATACTATTATGCATCACGGTATAGAGTAGCCACGCCCATTTTCATGTTCAATTGTCCATC